TTGGTTTACGGGGCACTGTCGAACATTCCTATGAGAATTGTGAGAGTGAATAATATACTTTGCGAGTGAAATGAGTATGTGAATTACTTATGATGACTAGTTCATGTTGACATTCACCGAGAGTTCAATTTTCTCGCCAATCTGACTTTCCCAACAATCTGGACCACAGACGTCTGGTTTACCAGGCATGGGCCGACTGCGATACATCTGACCGTCTTTTCCCTTTATTAAACCATCCGTCAATTGTATTGTCTCGGGTCCCCATTGAGTAAGAAAATGACCCGTCCGCATGACTCTTTGCTGAGGAGTCGTGACCGTGTGACTCCCACCGCAGTACCGATTGCAGAGATGATCTCTAATACATCATACTTATTAAACTTAAGATAATTATCATTGAGCTACTTAAAAACTTTGAAAGCCGTTAAGTCTACAATCGTAATTTTGAAAAAAGATTCATGGTTTAAACATTAATATTCATTAATAATAATTAATACCAGCTTGTAATATTCATTTTTCAAGATGTAATATTTTCTCGAGATTTTTCAAGATGACATGAAATATTGTAAAATCGATTACCTGGGACTCCTCGCGAGCACCTCTTCCTTCGCTTTCATCTTCTTTGCTTCCTCTTGCATTGCTGCCTCAAATTGGATCAGATTTCTGCTGTGAGGTAATCTTCTCTGCTGTTTTCTGACTTGATCCAACTCGTACGTGAGATAAGGTTTCATGCTGGTAGTGCAAGGGAATGGCTCGGCTCGAAATCTACCAACCTCTTCTGTCTTCATAACAACATCCTTGTCACACGATATACATTGAACATCTCTGGATAAAAGAGAAAAAAATCAACATTGCGTTAAAGCTTTATTTTCATGCCTAAAATGTTTACTTAAGCAGCTTCTTCGTTCCTGCTGCCTCTATTTCTCGTCTCGCTTCAATCATAATCTTCAATTTTTCTTGAAGCGATTTTAACTTATTATTCACAAAGTCCTTCAGTGGTGTCATCTCGACTTTATCCATTTTAGTCGCGATTTCATTCTGCACTTCATCAAGCGCTTGTTGCCAAATCGATTCTTGCTTTGTCAATTTATCGATTGCTTCCTCGAGACCACGAGCGAGATCATCGCAAGCAGCATCAAATCGATCATGTGATACCTACAATAGTTTTTATAATATTTCAATCTGTATCAATAACAAATAAATTAGCAAATTTGGCAATTTTTTATACTTTTCTGTTCACAGTTTGAGCATCCGCTTTATCAGCCAAAGCATCTTCAATATCCTCTTTATTTGCTTTAACGGTTTTTAGAACTTCAATTTGTTCCAGTAGCGTCTGTCAACATTATATATCATAATAAATAAGACAACTTAAATATATAAATAATATAAAACACAATTTGCTGCTCTTACTTAGTTTAGATTTAAATATTTAACTCAAAAAATAACCACTTTAATTAATCTTATTTTATTATTAAGTTTGTACGTTAATGTGCGCTTCTTTTTTTTCTTTATCTTCAAGTAATTTGCTCATTGTTTGTCCGATTTTCTCCATATCCGTTTCAATTTCTTGCACTTTTATAATAAAATTCTTAATCTTAGCGTCATCTGTTTTGTCGACTTCTTGTATACTATCTACTTTTTCTAACAAATGTCTAAATTCTGACTCCAATACAACCACACGTTCGGTAACATCGTTCAAGACTTCGCCATGGGTGGTTTCGATGTTCTTCACAGCTTCTAAGCATTGCTCCAAGTTTGTAACAGCAGTCACTTCGACTATTTTTTCCTTATCATTAATCGGTTCTCTAACAGATTCAATTTCTTGTACCGATGGTGGTACTGGCTTTTCTTCTACTAATGACACACCGACAATTGTTAGCATTTTAGTTCTCATATTCATATATAATGTATATGTAATAAACTAAAATAAATGTAAATATATAAATTGTCAACATACGTGCAACTCTTTCGTTAAGATCTCGCAGTTCCTGATCTATACGAGCTACATCCGTTTTTAATGCAGTGACATCTTGGCGTATTTCTTCTATAGCAGTGTCATCTAAATACATTTCCTAATCAGTAAGCTATTTCGGATATGTTAAAAAAAAAAAGCGATTAAAGTACAGATTTATAAACGACTTAAATCAATGCTTTTGACATTAGACTAATTTTTATATGAAATCATTGAACTTATTACTCATAAGTCCTACTCGAGCAGCTAGCTTCTCAGGTGTTACTCTGCGTATTTTATTAGCTACTTCTTTTGCATTTTCTTCTTTTTCACGTTCTGGTACAATCACATCTGTGGTTTCTACTGGTTCTGCGGTTGCTGCTATTGTTGTCACTTCTGCTTCTTCTTTTTCTTCTACTCCTACTATACCAGTAGTTGGCGCGGCTATATCTTCGGTTAACATATCGGTAACTGTTTGCAAATTGATAAGCCATTGCTCCATCTTGGAGACCTTATCTTCAAGTTCGTCCAATCTCGTATTAATTAGAGATGTATCTGCTGTTACTACGCCAACATCACCTTTGATCACATCTTGTATCATCGCTGTGAGCTGTAATTATAACTTAATAAATTAATAAAATAAAGTTCCACTGTTTTAATATTTTCAGGATTAGTTTTTATTTATTCTTATTAAGTGATTAGAGGTGAGAAATGTAAACATTATACGCGAGATTTTTACGAGATAACAAACAGTATACCTTATCGATACCTTGTTCATTAGTGTCCAATCTTTTATTGATATTAATAAATTGCCACACATCCGCGGTAGGATCTGCGATTCGATCTTTTAAACGTTCAATTTCTGGAGAAGTAGACAAATCCTCTAAAGCTTGATACCGTTCTTGCAACTGTTTTACCTATTAATTAAATTATTAGTGAATGAATTACATATTGCTACTGTATATAACGTTAATTTTATAAATAATTTGTCCTACATACAGTTTGTTCGAGCTCTTTGAACTGCGATACCGTAAGAGGAGAACCATTCACGACAGATACAACCGTCTCAGCTTCGGGAACTTTTTCAAAACTTATTTGTGGTATCACATCTTCTGTTACTCTTAAAATTTGCTCTGCAGGTACTTGAATATCTGAATTAAATTAAATCTATATAACAATTTATACGTAATTAAATAATTATAGGAAATCAAAACAGGATCAATTATGAGTGTGTACCTTCTGTAAGTACATCAGCATCGTCACCATCGTCTTTTCGAACTCGTTGCGTTACTTCTGGGCTCGGCTTCATAGATGTTACCATTCTCTGCAATAGCTCTCACATAAGAAAAAGAATTACCACATTTCTTTTTTCAATTACTCGACATATTATTTTCCTTACTTTAATACGATCTGCGTTTTCACCATGAAATTCAACTGTGGTAGCCTGCAAATTTATTTGATGCAACAAAATATGGAGGAAATTATGTAGAACATTAAAATTAACTGCGCCAACCTGAAATCAATAATTTTATTAATCGTTTTATCTGCAAGACATTGATGGATAATAAATTTTACTATTGTTTTACTTCTGGTGATCCGAGAGCAAGATCAAGCATTTGAGGAAGAGAAATTTGCAGACTGGCATTGTTGTTAGCTGCTGTTGGCACGTTAAATACTTCTGACATTTGAGTTGCAGTTTTCGCAGCCATTTTAAACGCGAATGATCAATTTTGTTGGGAATCACATGAGGACCGTATCAATTACATTTATCTTCTTGTTTGTCAAAGACAAGCGCGGTTATTGTAAAAAATATTGATTGAATTGTCAATTTTGAAAATAGTTGCTCTTGTTCCTGTATTCATCCCTTATCCGATAGGCTAAGGGAGGTGAAGTTATATCTGTATCTTCACAGTTGGCGCCACAAATGTCATTGACAAGTAGCGTGCTCTTATGGAAAATATTTGTATTACTCATCCTTTTTTTATTCATGAAAAGTTTCAAAGAATCAACAAACCTTCTTATTATTCTTTTACGCGTCTTTTATGCAAATAAGATATTACGTTTAATACTTAATTAAAAAGTATAACTCTTTTATTACGTTGCTTAAGAATAAATATTTAAACAGTGTTATTTAATTATTGTTAATTTTTTAATACATTTCTTAGATGTTTTAAATAGATAATATTATACATTATATAATCATTTAAAACTGTGTGTGTATGCACAATGTTACTATCAAACAAATAATTCTCTGAATAACATATATATATTTTATATAAAAACGTGGAATACTAAATAAAATACAATATGCAATCTAGGTATATTTTTCAATAATCTCCGTTGTTGATCAAATACCATTGATATGACGGGTTAATGAAACAGTAATTCACCGCGCGTCGTTTCTCCACAAACAGGCTCGGTTTATCTAACTGCACGTGGCCGATATACCGAAACGTGAAATAGAATCAAGCTAGACTATACTACCGTAGAGATTACATCGAATCGTATATATTTTATCGAGTTCCCGGATATGATATTCTCGAACATTTCCGTTAGACCGATACGATCAACGTCAGCTCGATCGTGTATTTATACGCTCGTACATCCATCCTGCGATGAATCTTCCCGTATCGCGCGAATAAATTAAAATTGTCATACTTCCTAATCGATTCATACACGAACTAGGGACGACGAGAATAAGTCATTTCAGGTTGAAAAATATCCGAAAAATTCAAAAACTTTTAGAATTAAATAGCCTTATAATTTGGACTACAGATATATCTGTATCTTTTGTATATGTACAAAATATCTAGTATATGTACAAAAGTAATCTTAAAATAGCTAAAATAGATTTTTTCTGTATAAAAAGATATAAAAAATATATATATTTCTAAAGAGAGATTTATTTCCTTTATGTTCTTTTATCGAGATAAGTACTTGACGAAATGTGAAAAAGATTCCGTATATTTTACGTATCGTTTCCTACGCGAATAATTCAGCAACAGTCGTTATATATGTAGCTATATATAGCTACGTTCTCGAATTACTTATGATGAAGCAAGCATTGGTACTGTTTGAATTACGTTATTTGATCTCCGAGCGAATGTTTAATCGTGAATAATGTCAGCATTCTTGATAGGTGATATCTAGCCGAACATCTCGGCACTCAATAGCACAACGGTAACGTCATTCTTATGATTTGCTCATCTGTCAGGTGAGTGACAGCTCCTTTCTGTCTTCTTACGCGATTTCTTCGACCAACTCGTCAGTGCGAAGACAATCGCAGCTCTGAAATAATGTATACGTTCAAGGAAAGGTACGCTGTGGTGACGGTGAGTGTGAACAATTCAATTTTAAGACATCGTTTTATATCCAACGTTATTAATCTGTTAAATTCTTCTCAAATATTGACGTCTCTCTCGTTTGCCTATCCGCGGCAGATTTAATTTCGACTTTCATCTCTCTGTGTAACTTAATGTCTAGTCTATTGTCCGTTTCAATGTAGATTAACTTTACTCTCAGTTTAACTTATCTTTTCATCTTTTTTCTGTATTTTTAAGAATTAAAAAAATATAAAGAGTATAAATTAAACCAAGATTAAAATTAATCTTCATTGATAGAAATAGACATAAGTCAATCAATTGTAGTATACTATATTGGTATATATTCGGCGTATAAGAGAGACTTATTTTCAGAATTCGATTTAATTGCAACCTATGATTTCGACACAAAAAACATTTGAAGACATGCATTTAAAAAACATCAAATAATAATTTTATAGATAATTATAAATTAAAATTAGATTTATATAAGAATAAATCGATTAATAGAAATAATCCTATTTTTGGTTAAAGCAGATCTTATAGTATTTAATAATATAAATGCAAATTATTCCAAATATATTATTTTTATTTTATAAACTGTGCGCCAATATGGTTTGTCGGACTTGAAATGCAACTGCAAATTGAAACTAAAATTAATATCCCTATTTAGATTGATCGTTTACGTAAACATAGAACTCCCGACTTTCTTGAACGAACGTAATACCAATTCAATCACTAAGCGTGTGGAAATACTTATCGTATATAATAATCAAATCCTAGCTGATAGTAATATTATATATTTTTCGCAATTTTACGATAAATTATTTACAGGTTGTTAAGATGCCTTTATTGGCGTCACTATTGAATGGCTAATCTAATTTAGGATACTAATTTCAGCTTCAGTTTGCGATTGCATTTCAAGTCCCACAAACTGTATCATATACCATATTTGCAGAAGTTTGCATTTGGTATTAACGCTAAAATCCGCTTTGACCGAAAATAGGATTAGTTCTATTAATTGAATAATTTCATAGCCCTGAAGGAAAATTTATAATTTAGCGTAAACGAATATTATGTACTATATTTCCTATAAATATTCATTATTCCTGACAAATATCTACGGTGTCATAACTTGAATCTCCTTTCAGTTTCTTTTGTTTACTCTGGGTCGCGGAATTCCATTTGGACAGCGGTACAATCCTGTGATACCGCCACTTTCGTGGCATCTCGTGCCACCTTGGGAATATATGCTACGCGAGATTATCCTCAAATCAGTCAACCCGTCGCCACTGGATAGCAATGCACCCCTCAAGCGTCCGTTGGATGCTTCCTACTACGGCGGCCCAGTCGCCGCTTACTCGGACGACGACAAGAATGTCATTCTATCGCGTGGAAACGTTTATCATTTGCTAAATGGTCACTGGATACTATGTCAGGACGGATGCGTCGACTGCGAGCCATGCGCAGTTCAGAGGAATCCCGTATTCACGTGGATTCTGCGGAGGATCAAGCAACCACCAAATTCCGTCGCGACACGACATGATCTCCAGTTGACGATAATGCCGCAAACGAGCAATCATTTCCACGCCAGTAATCTCCGGCCGAATTACTACGTTTACGTGACGCCACAGGGGGAACCTACGTCAACCTTAACGATTAGAACGCACGATAATGGCCCGAAAGATTCCCCACCTGGTCTTGAAAACAGTGTTTCCGAGCATCATCGTCGATCGATGAATTCCTGGCGGTTGACAGAACGAGACTCAAGCGCCAATCAGGACAGGATACCACAAGAGGATACCCATGGTACCGTTCAGGAGACCGTAAGCATTGAAAAGATCGAGAAAGAGGAATCGCTCGAGCGGAAGCACGAACTCGAGAATATGAGACCTCGACATCGACCTCGGCCGAGACCCATGGAAAAAGTAGCGGAAGAAGTGAATCAATTGGCACCGAGATTGATTCTGGGGACCGATCAAAAAGGTCAGAAGCATTTGGTTCACGTGGTGCCGGCGAATTATCCGACGACTACTGCGCTTTCTACAATTTCTCATCCTTTAAATCACCCAGTATCGCCACAGTTTGTGGAGGATCAAGCGACACATTCAAATAATATTACGATATCTAAAGACGAGATGCAAACTTATCAACGAATATTTCGCAGAGTTTTCGATTCCTTGAACACGCACAGGCAATCGATCGAAAATTTCCTTGAGTCATCGACAGATAATATGGGTAACTTAGATTGGCAACAACGATCTTCCTCGGATAATATGGAAGCCTCTGGATTTTCTTGGAATAATCGCGACGTAAATCATAAGAGTGCTAATTTGGAGCTTAATGACGCGTTGCTGTCGCCTTTTTATGTAAGAAATGAAGATAAAAGTAGAAAGTATCAGCAATATAGAAACAGGTATGATAACAAACATATTAAACAGAACAATGGATATTATATAACATCTCCAGATATGAATCAAGCTAAAATATCTTCTAGCCAGTCGCAAACAGGTTTTAATTTTGATGTAGATAGACAACGGCGAAGAGTACGCATCAAACCATACTTTGTTGATAGTAAAGATATTTCTCGAATAAATTCATCGGTATCGTTAAAAAGTTTGAACAATTATTTGGTAAATGCTACTCAGGGTATTGGTTATAGTAACGGCTTTGTTATCAATTCCGCAAAACAAATTGATCATAATGACACGTTTGTTGAGAAAGGAAATGACAATTCTATGGAATCGAGTTTGATAACAAAACAGAAGAACGGACAATTGTTCGGCTCAGAAAAGCAGGAAAGTGGCTATGTTAATCGAAAATTCGAGGCTTCGCACGATGCTTTCAAGGTAATTACTACGGAGTCGTCGGTAATTCGAAGCAAAACTTTAAATCGCACTGTAGTATTATAAATAACCACTTCGAAGACATTCGTTAACAGTAATCGACATCTTAGAAAAAGACTAATAGACGAATAGAAAGATTAATATCGATAGAAATAAAAGTAACATACAGATAATTAAGATAACAAACACACATGCATACTTAGTATATACAATGATTTTTCTTTACTACACATAATGGATCGTTTGTGTATAAGTTAATTTTTTTTAAATGTAGAAAAATTATTAAGTAATTTTTGCATACGTAACATTTTCAGAAAGTTAGGCAAGGCTGTGTATTACAAAAAAAGAGGAAATAGAGACCATTATTATATAAAGTCAGGTGCTTTTAGCATTTCAAAGAAAATGCACAAACGAGACAAATGATCCAATCGTGTGTATCAACAAAGATTAATTATATATTTATATAATTGTAGATGAGTTCGTACGCGTTTTACTTATAATATATATATAATTGTGTGTGTGAAATGTATCACGTTTATAATCTTTTATAAATAAAAACATATATAAATTATTAAAAATTAAAACATTTTTTACTTCAAAGTAAAAAGTTTTCTCATAGAATATCGACTTATAATATGAGCATATTTAAATATGCAGTCATATGAGAATGGAAGAAAGATTAAATATACAATTAAAAGAGTCCAAATAATTTGTTAGGAAAAGATATAATTTTGCATTAAAAATGATTACATAATGTATACTAAAATTAGTTGGCGAAATATTATTATAATTTAGAGGCACACGTGTGCCGCTATCGTATAAACACAGGTAGGTATGTTAGAACCCACGAGAACACTAAAGGATGTATAGAAGGCGGACGGCTTGGTTTGAGAAACAGGGATAGGCCGACGCTTATATTTAATTAAAGAGGATACGGGCTCGAGCGCGGGGAAGGAGATCGGATGAAGCAAGTAATGCCAGGTTGTGAGGAGAAGTGAGGGTAGATGCTGGAGCAAGCCTGTGTTTCTTGTCTAATTATCTACCCTCCCATCCCGGCCGACCTGCCACGTTCACTTTCTACGTCTGGTAGTTGCTTCCATCAACTCGTTTTCGCTCTCTGTCTCTCTCTTTCTCTTACTCTTTCTGTTATCTTTACCTCCATGACTGCATGTTCTTCTTTGCGTCTATTTGCTCTCTTCTCTCCATTAGCATCTCAGTAGAGATCAAGAAAGATGGACGAGTCCTATCCAACTTCTCCCTGCGTTTTTAGTTTTAATTCATCTGTTCGCCTATGTTGAGAAACACGTTAGTTGCAAGCGAGCCACGAGGATCGATTGAACAGGCTTCTGAAAGTTTTTAATTAGATCGCCGCCTCTTCCTTCCTTGATCAACAGCGCTGATGTAATCAGAAATAAAATTCGCCGTCCGGAGCACGGTATCTGTATGAGCGACATCGAAACCTCGTCGTCGCTTTTTAGAGACTCTTTCTAAGCGCCTTTTTGTCCTGTCTTTTTCACTTGCTACATTCTTCAGCGATCCCTCATCTGATTTTGGGCTTCACCCTTCGTTCCTTTTCTCGCTTGTTGCAGTCGAATGGTGCAAAACGATCGAGTCGATCCCTGGCAGATTGGTTTTAACGAGTTTCCTTTCAACGCGGTTTATCGAGAAATTGCGGGCGCTTTCGATGAGTCCCCGACCGAATACGCCAGGGAAATTTCCACGGAAGATCTTAATTAAAGACGCCCGCCGAAAAATGAGAGCTCCCCCCCGGATTGGGGAGAACAGCGTTATTGCCGCACCAACGCGGCGGATCCGATTATCGCGCGGTCTGATCTATTAACTGTGTGTACGTAACTTAAAGGGATTCGCGAAAGTTGAGCTACGCCGCGCTGCCACTATAACTCAGGTAAATACCGATCAAATTTTAGTTAAGAGGTACTTCACCAACGAAACACATTTTCGGGTATTTCAGATTGAAAGGATGGCGTCAAATATTTCACAAAATATTTGTCTTGATTTAATTGTACAATACTAACTGGTGACACGTTATTTTTGTGACACGCATTGTGTCACGTGTTCAGCAGAGTATTTATTGTTGAAAATTCTCTTCGCACTAATTAAATTATATTTTTACATTTAAAGGAATAGTTCTACTTCATCAAAGAAATCTTCCAACAAAACAAACATTTTGCTAAACGTGGCGGATCTTTATAACTGAAAATTTCTATTTCTATTTCTTGTAGTATATTATATTTTTATATGCTATCGCATAAAAAAAATTATTACTATGAAAAAAAGAGTCTGGTTGCATTAATTAGAATTCTATATAGATTGAAAATAGACAAATCAGAAATTTTTTGAAATTTTCAGTCAACAATTTTTTCAATGCAAATATTTTAATTTTAACACTGTGTTTATGAAATAGAATCGTTATTAATACATATGTATTAACAGAGTCACAGATTTATAAAAATTATCATATAAAATTATCAAATGGATCAGAGTAGAAAATTTTATGAGATAAATGCGATACTGCGAAACATCGAACTAATAGTCCCCTTTCAAACTTCGTCTAAATTCAACCTATTCTATACCGGTAAGCTCCCTCGCATGTATACTCGCACGCAACTCGGAGATAAGCGCACAGCCAGCACTGTAAGTCTATCGGGCTTTCAGACGGCAAAAAGTGGAGGAAGCGGAGACGAGATTGGAAGTAGGAGAGAAAAGAAGCCCGGCTTTTAACAGTAAGACGATGGAGGCCGGGACCCGTCTGATAGGAGATTGACGCTCTAGCGTGTGAGAGACCGACGCGGGGGAAAAGAAAAGAGAAACAGGGGCTTACTAAACGTGTGGCGAAAAGGGCGTTTTCCCTGCCGTTTTCAGATATTTAAATCCGCGCGAACGACTTCGGGGTTCCGCTCGCGGATCACCTCCCTACGATACGAAATCGCGAGTGGCTCCAGGCGTGGCGAATCCAGGCTCTCGTCTGGTTGGCTTAAATGAGAACGAAAAAGAAACGTAGCGCAAATGGTAGGAAGAGAAGGAAGTAAGGCGGTAGGAGAGATATAGGAAGAGTGCAGAGAGTGAGTTGTTCGAGCGTGACGTGTATTCTTGTCAGGGTGAGGCCGAAAGACGTAGTACACAGCAGACTTTACAGGCCGTTCGCCAGAGAGGAAAAAGAAGACAACGCGAGAGAGCAAAGTAGGAGCGAAGGAGAGCGAAGGAGAAATTGTGGAGAAAGAGAGGATCCCCGGTATGTACTCCTTAATAGTGTGGGTGTGTCGGTGCGGAGTAAGTTTTAAAAACATCCCGGCCGACGCGCCTCCATGGTGCTGGTTTTATCGCTGCCTCCAGGAGGACTCTTCTTTCTCTCTTCCTCCTCTCTCCGCTTCTCCGTAAACTCCCATCCGGGCAAAGCCTTACCCTCCGTGGCACCGGAGCACTTGCCTACGTACGTACTGTCGGCTGTAAATCCACCGAAAAGCATCTGCGGGTATCAAGAAACAAGTCCGGGCCGCAAACGCGCGCGACGGGTGAGCTTTTAAACCTGCATGAGCACAGCGTGCAATTTCGTAACGATCTGTGCACGCAGGTGCTTCGGGTTGAACAACGAGAAAAAGTTACTTAAATGCACCCTGCGATGTGCGCGAGAGAGTGCTTAGAGCTTTTTTATCGAACGCGTTTGTCATTAATGTACGACGTAGTGAGCTGAGAATACCAGAGGTGAATATTCATAAGAATATTCGCACGGTGAATAAAACTATAATGAGGCAGAGAGATTAATATTAACACTAAAATTATTTTCTTTTTCTTTTTTTTTTTTGTTTACGTAAACCATCACTCAAGATATTTTTACACCCCAATTAAATTACTACATATTAACAACATATATTATTGATTATTTTCCATTGATTTTTTTTTAATTTCCAATTTATTGGTATTTGAAAACATTATCAATACAAATTTAATTATAATTTTCTGAAAACAATAAATAGAAACTAAATACATATTAAAAATGGAATAAGAATATTAGGCTTATATTATTACAATATTTTAAAAAAGTAACGATTTTAATTAATACAACACTTTTGTTGCTAGTTTTCGAAAGAATATTTAAATGTTCATGAAGAATCTTATTAAAAATGAAAGAAAAATCATGTGTTGAATAACACATCTATATTAATAAATAATAATAATAATTTATCGATTACTCGTCACGATGAGCATTTACTCGAGCATACTCAAGTACATCAGGGTAAACGTAACAAATTACGTGCAACAAACTGAAAGTACGAGGCGGCCGAAGAAGGTGACTAAGAGACGTTTTTAGCGTAAGTTCGACGTGAAACTCTTCTGCTCTCCTTCGCACTCGTGGCTCGTCTACTTCGACGTTACCGCGCGTTCACGTCATTCTGCCGGCCTTTTTGCTCGAGATACTTTCCCTTTGACCGACAGGAGTAGATTGGATATTTTTCCTTGTGGCGCACCTGGTTTTTCCTTCCAGCAAGGTGGACCAACGAGACGCGTATCGCATTTGAGGCTCGCGCCTTGCCTGACGCAATGTGTGCGCGTTCGCACGTACATATACACGCAAACGAATATGGATCGCAGAGGGGCAATAGTGCCGATGCTGCTGTACATTTGCAACAGTGAAAGCGCGGTAGTCGGGGCGCGGCGCGAGAAACAAGTCGTCGCATCAACATCCTATTTCGTTTCCCATTACGTAAACGTCTGAAGCACGCGATTTATTTGTTTTATTTTCGTATGGAATGTTCTTTGGCAGGACCTCAAAGGCAAGCCAGGGCCCGCCGCCCGCGCCGCGCTGCGCCGCGCCGCGCCGTCTCGCTCGTCGTCCTTTCCAGCTCTCTTTCCAGCTCATACGGTGGTTACCCTTGCCGCTCTCGCAGCCCTTGTAGACCGACGACTCCTCACATATGATTACCATCGACATGAAGCGAGCTAATATCCGAATTTTTGCGATTCCTTTTACGGGATATTGAAAGCCATTTTCCTCCTTCCTTTTGCCCTGTCTTCTTCCATTCCGGAGCTCCGACTTCCTGGCTCTATTGGAATACACCGTCTTGTCTCTTTATAGATTCATCGTAAAGATCAAGCTAAAAATAGCCAAATGTATTGATATCATAAAGAAATATAAGAATGCGGATTACTTCGAGTTGCCTTAATTTTCCAAATTGAAGATGGAGCTAGATTTTACGATGCTGCTGCTTGATTAAATTGCCAGAGCCAAATATTACTGTAGAGTGTATCCACTGGATAGTAATTGTACCATCAGTCGTGCATTCTATGCAATATTGCTTGATACCGACGCATATAAATGCGATAATTTCTGCGATTTACGCGATTTCGCGGACATCTGTGCGAGTACAACATCGCTATTTCAATATTAAATCGACACGATAATAACTTCAGCCATTCGAGGCAATTGATATTAATAAATGCAATGTCGTACACATTTATAT